ATAATATTATTAGGCCACACCAATTTAATTTGTTGCTTCTCGAATCGCCCTGTCCATTTTTTTCTGATTTGTAAAAAAAAAAATTTAGTTCTAAATTAACTGCAAAATGCTCAATGAAAGACATATTTTGGCCCCAATGGTTGAAGACAGTCCTTTTCTTCCTAGTTCGTGAAGTTTTTCAATGTAACAATTAGTGATGCATACCTAAACCCAATTTTAGGTTCAGGTCCGGATTCAAGTCCAGAGGTTTAGGTTCAGGTCCGGATTTGTAAGTCCGGACCTAAACCCATGGCATATACAAAATTGCATGTTGGCAACCTTGCAATGTTATCTGGGTGAAACTTTGGCCACGTAACATGTAGGGCAGTACTTGATGATGCCCAATGGCAATGTTTTCTTCATTTTGCAGCAAAGATTTTGCAATTTAAGGAAGGTTTTAGGTGGTTTGGAATGAAAAGGGGTATGTGAAATGGTCTTTTATGGTAATAAGTCCGGACTCGGTTCTTGACTTTAGGTTTTTTTGGACTTGAACCTAAACATTCTTACAAGTCCGGATCCAAGTCCAGTGAACCGGTATGCATCACTAGTAACAATGCAATTTTTTTTCATTAAAAGTTCAAAATGTATTGTTTTAATCATAAACCAGCCTGGTATGTTCACTTCATGGCTCATATCGTAACATTGCCTGCTATCATGGGGTGCCTTGGCCTGTTTTTTTTATTTATATTTCTCCCTGTCGCTCCATATTTTTTTTGAAAAAATCCGAAAAACAACAAATTAAATTGGTGTGGCCTTAGCAGTGAACTCACGCGATGCCGGCTCCCATGCTTGGGTCCATGAGGAAGTAGCCCAGGGCTCCGACGTTGACGGCCATCATGCCTGCATTCAGCGCATGGCGGCCGGGAAGCAGGAGGGGGTCCGAGCTCAGGGTACCCTGTGAAAAGAACAACATCAATGGTATTGTCTCAGTCTGTACTAAAAATTCAAAACTTAACCATTAGCAGGGCTCAAAATACTGGGTACATGTGCACCTCAGTGCACCCAAAATTGGAGCTGTGCACCAGTGCACCCAAATATTTTTGTAGGTATTAAATGTATAAGTATACAGGATATTCTTGGCATCTAAGGGTCAGAAAAATAAAAGAATCTTGAAGATTTTTAAGTTAGCTCCCATTTCAGATTCAAGCTTAGAAGAGGATAGTAGTAAGATCGATAATTAGGTTTTGTTTTATAAGGTGCACCCAAAAATTGTTTTGTACACCTAATTTTATAGGTTGGGTGCACCTATTAGTATTAGCATTACTATTACCAAAAATGAATTTTGAGCCCTGATGAGTAATAGCAATAATCTTCTTAATAAGGATTTCTTTAGAAGAAGCTTTATATGGCCTAGGAAAAATTGTTTCCTGTTTCCCAGACCGACTCTAGAAAAAAACTGCCGACCGTAGCCTTTTTGTGTGTGGACCCCTGCAAAGGAAATAAATTCTCCGAGCTGATTGAACTTTTTTGGCTTCATAACCCAAAACCCGAGTAATGAAATGTTTTACAATCAATTTTCCAACATGGTCCGCTGAAAATAAATTTCCTGGTGCAGTAGAAAAAGTTATAAAAACACACCCATAAAGCCTTAGATTTTAGACCTAAGTCTTAAAAAAAGATAATCCCTAACTACACTAATTTTTTTCAGGACTAAAACAGGAAACACAATGTTTTTTTCCTAGGCGTAAGCATGTTAAGTTGTTCCTCCTAAAGTTAAGTACAAAATGCAAACATACATGATTGTCACGTTTTGCGCGAACATGTACTTACCTGAAGCTTTCCGTAGGCAATGAGAGAGCCAGTGAAGGTGACACCTCCGATGAACGTGCCGAGGAACTGGGCGATTCTCTCGATGGTGGCGGGATCATCCCCCCAGTGAGGGGCGTGGGCCAGGTAGGTGGCCACACAGGTCAGCACGGCGGCCATTCCCACGAAGCTGTGGAACAACGCCACCAGCTGGGGCAGGTCGCTGATGATGATGCGTTTGGCGATGATGGCTCCCAGGGTGCCGCCCACACTCATGGCCGCTCCCATCTGCATGTAGGTCTCCGGCGACACGTTCACGACGCCAAGGGTGGCGGCGATGCCAGAGGCGATACCGATCATACCCAGGGCGTTGCCGACACGTGAGGTGGTTTGGTGGGCCAGTCCCGTCAGGGCTCCCACGCAGCAAAGGGACGCACCGAGGCAGGTCAGGTTGTACATCTCCGGGTATCCCATCATCTCGCCGTAGGCGTAGGTTCCGATGAAGCCCACGCCGGGGATGGCGTAGAGGTAGTTGTACTCGGGCGGGTCTTCGGGGCGACGGAACATGTCCAACATTCTCTGGGTGATGACGAAGCCGCCGCCGATGTTGATGGAAGAGATGAAGCAGGCTGTGGCAGCCAGGGTGGTGGGCCAGCTGTTGGGGAAGTAGCCTCCACCCATCAGGAGGAGACCGCCAACGGCAGTGATACCGGAGATGGCGTTCGTGACGGACATGAGGGGCGAGTGAAGGGCCGGGGTGACGCCCCACACCGTGTGGTAACCCACGATACCAGCCAGGGAGAAGGTGGTGAGCTGGGTGGAGAAGGCCACGTTGGGGGAGCCGACTCCGAGGAGGGCTGCAACTCCCAGGCCAGCGGAGTACATCCCGGCACTCCTCATGGTGTCCATGAAGTAGTTGGGCTCTGGTGGTGCCACGGCTACCTGTTCTGCCGGCTTGGCCTCTGGGGTGACGTCCAGCTTTGGTGGTGGAGGTGGCGGCCACATCAGCTTGCCTTTATCCAGGACGATGGAACCTCTGACGACCTCGTCCTCCAGGTCCAGCACGTACTCCCCGTTCCCTCCGAGCGACAGAAGGAGCTTGCTGATGTTGTTGGCGTACAGGGTGCTGCTCTGGGTGGGCAGTCTGCTGGGCAGGTCGGTGTACGCGACGTGCGTCACTCCATTGTACACATACTTCTCTCCGGGCTTTGTCGTCTCCACGTTACCACCCGCCTCCGCTGCCAGGTCGACGATGACGGATCCCTGCTTCATGGACTCCACCATCTCTTTGGAGATCAGCTTCGGCGCGGGCTTGCCGGGGATGAGGGCAGTGGAGATCAGGATGTCAATCTCTTTGCACTGCTTGGCGAACAGAGCCATCTCTGCTGCAATGAATTCTGGGGACATCTCCTTGGCATATCCGCCACCGCCTTCACCGGATTCTTCCACATGGACTTCCAGGGCTTCTCCTCCCAAGGACTTGATCTGCTCTCTTGCCGCCTCCCTGGTGTCAAACCCTCTCACGATGGCACCCATGTTCTTGGCAGTGCCAATAGAAGACAGGCCAGCCACGCCACCACCGATGACCATGACTTTCGCCGGAGGAACTTTCCGGCAGCCGTGATCTGACCCGTGAAGAAACGTCCAAAGCTATTGGCTGCCTCTATCACCGCCTTGTACCCGGCAATGTTTGCCATGGAGCTCAAGGCGTCAAACACCTGCGCACGACTGATACGGGGCACACAGTCCATGGCCAGCACCGTGGCGTTCCGCTTGGCCAGGAGGTCGATGAGCTCCTGGTTCTGTGCAGGGTAGAGAAAGCTGATGAGGTGTGCGCCGTCCTTGAGTTTGCTGACTTCCTCCGCGCTCGGCGCTCGCACTTTCAGGACAATGTCCGACTTGAAGACATCTCCTGCATCCTTGATCTCTGCACCTGAGCTGACGTACTCGGCCTCGCTGAACTGCGCCTCTGCGCCGGCGCCACGCTCCACATTCACCTTGAAGCCTGCCTTTGTCAAGGTCGCACACGCAGCTGGGCTGAGGGCGACTCGGCGCTCGTTCAGGAAGGTCTCCTTGGGTACGCCGACCGTCAGCTCACTGTACGGGATCCCCTTGAGCGAAACCTGTTCTCCGCTGGACGAGAAGAGACATTTGAAGGTGTTGAGGTTGCGGCTCTGCGCAGATATGACCTTCTGGATGTTCCCGCTAACCAGGTTGTCGATCAGGGGGACCAGGCCCTGCTTCTCCACTGTTCGTAGCAGCCGGAACATTTGATCCTGGGTGAGCAGTCCCTTCAAGATCTGTCAAGAAAAATAAACAAAAAATGTAACACTATGACTATGAGCATACATACTTTTTTGCAGGTTATCATGTGTGAGTATCTGGAATAAAAAAACTCACTTTGAGGTCACGTTAGCAATGAATGGCAAAAGCTGAAGACCTCTACAAGCAATATTATGAAACAATAAAAATTCAGCCCTCTGAATACAATACAATAGCATCAAAAACTACATACATTTATGTGGATTGTGAAAATCTCAGTAAAGAATTTAGCTGCAGGTACTGGTATTGAGACTTAGGTAGTTAGGTTCACCGGGTGTTTGAAGTCACCAACGGAGTTGCAGTGAGCAAGAAACATGTTTAAGGCCTGACAGTACAGTGGACCACAATGACTGATCAACCGCACTTCGTCTTGCTTGAATTTTTCTTGCACTCTAAAGGTACAAAATATCTTTGGCCATATTTGTAAACCCTATATCAAAGATTATACAAATTTTCCTTTCAAATGACTTCCCACAACTGCAACATGCCATAGAAAGAGCCAACTGAAGAAGCCCAAAATTGACTTAAACCAGCCTGACAGAGACAAGAGCCAGTGTGTACATGTAAGTTATTTTTATCTGATGAGCCCAAAAGGAATTTCAAACATTTTATTCATAAAAGGAACAGATGTGTACACTAAAAAACATTTTTCCTGTGATCTTGTTTTATTTGAAGGGTTATACAAAGTGGATTCTATCGAGTTTGATGACAAGTATCAAAGAACAGAAAAAAGTAAGATTGTGGTCTAAGATTTAAGGAAGCTAAGGGGTTATGCACCTTGGCAACTGATGAGTAATCATGAGTTACTGTATTAGTATACTACATGTATTACTATTAATATTAGCATGCCAACCATGGAGCTGGTCAAATGTACAGAAAACTTAACAATTACTGGTATGAAGCCTTCTGGGCTTTTCTTTCCCTTTTAGCCTTTCCTCCCTTAGGCCACACCAATTTAATTTGTTGCTTCTCGGATCGCCCTGTCCATTTTTTTCTGATTTGCAAAAAAAAAAATGTTCTAAATTAACTGCAAAATGCTCAATGAAAGACATAGTTTGGCCCCAATGGTTGAAGAAAGTCCTTTTCAATGTAACAATGCAATTTTGTTTCATTAAAAGTTCAAAATCTATTGTTTTAATTAGGCCTAGGAAAAAAAATGTTGTGTTTCCGGTTACCCGACCGACCCTATGAAAAACCCCCCGACCCTAGCCTTTTTTGGGCCGACCAAAAATTTCGAGCGGCTAGCGGTCGGTTTTCAAAATTGGGGATTTTATCCCCGATAAATGTGCTCGTCATTCCAATTTTCTTCGGTCGGGCGGCGTGGATCGAGCGCTAATTGCACGGATCGGGCCGCTATTCAATTCCATTGTCGGCACAATCCTGTGAATTGACGATGAATTGTCGATCTCGCCATGACGCTACAAAGAAAACGTTGTCATTGGTAGAAAATCTGACACCCCGCTGGCGTTTCACAACAAAATTTTCATGTAAACAACTCCGACTGTCTTTGTTTACATCGCGAAAGCTCACCGATACAAAGTAAAACTCCCGCCGGCCGGCCGCGCCCGATCGCATGGTTGCGGCATGGCGCTAAGTTTTCGGCAGCTCGACGGAAAAATAATCCATCCCCAGAAGAAATGTTACGCATGAAAATAACAACTACAACTTGTTTTCCTCGTTATATGAGTTTTTGAGGCCGTAAAATGTTTAAAACGGTTGAAATTTGCTCGAAAAAACGGCTCGAAAATTCACGGCGAGAAAGACAACATGGCCGACCTGTTTTCACAATAACAATGGTCAAAGGTCAAGATAGCATCCAAATGTATAGATACATGTAATAAGTACATATTACAGTGCTAAAACGATACTTTAAACGCATGAAAAATATTTTTTCGGCTA